AGACCCTTCATCATTTTTCTGATGAAGGGTCTAGGCCCGAAACGTCAGCCTTCTCACTCCTATGATGCTGCTTGGACTGCTGTGTTCATCCAGCTCTTCACCCTGTTATCTCAGATTTTCCAGCATCTGCAGTTCCTACTATCTCTGATACAACATTAAACTTTTGTTGGCAAGGCAAAACTCCCGGCCACTCTATTCAACACCAATAGCACATCTTTTTCTCTGCCTTTCATAATATACATTTTCAGGAATCCACTGATTTTTTCTTGTATTCCAAAACAAAAGGTTTCTAAAAAAAAATGCAACCCCATTGTTCACACAACAGTTGGGTCAAGGAGTTGTGTTGAAGCCTATCTAGAATCACACATCACAGGAGCAGACCATTCAGCCCATCATGCCTACCCTGACATTTTGAATTCAAATGGAGTCTTTGGCTATTTTTAAAGTAAAGGTGGATGGATTTCTGGTAAACAAGGATGTGAAAAGTTGTACGGAATGTGGTGGAACCACATCAGCCATGCTGTTGTTCAACATTGGATAGATTGGAGGAGCCTAATGGCTCCTAACTTGTATGTTCACATGTTGGTAAATAGAGAGTGGTTGTGAGTGGAGGAAGGTTTATAACAGGGTCTCCCATGGGTCATTGTGGGACACCTGCTTTTCTTGATCTATATTAATAACGTTGACCTGGGTGTACAGGGCATAATTTTAAACTCTGTGAATGACACAAAACCAGAAGTGTTGGGAACTGTGAGGAGGATAGTGATTGACATCAAGTGGACAGAGAGAGGCTGATGGAATGACGGCCATATGGCAGATGCAAATGAATGTAGTGAAGTATTGAATGATTCATTTTATTATAAAGAATGGGGAGAGGCAATATTAGACATGAAGGATGCAATTCTAAAGGCAATGCAAGAGCAAAGGGCCCTGAGGGTATAGGTGCACAAACTATTAATGGTGGAAGGGCAAGATGACAGACAGCCAATAAAGCCTAGAGTTAGCTAGGCTTTATTAACTGGAGCATAGTGCAAAAGAGAAAGGAGATTATTATATGAACAAGGAACAAGAGTAGGCCTGCTCCACCATTCAATAAGATCGTGGCTGATCTGTCTTTAACTTCAACTCTACATTCCTGCATATCCCTGATAATCTTTCATCCTCTTGGTAATCAAGAATTTATCTACCTCGCCATTAAAACCATTTCAAGATTCTGTATCTACTGCCTTTTGAGGAACCTTCATGAACTTACTCTAAGGCTTGATAAAAGATTTGGAGAGGTATGTCCGATTTTGAGCACCACACAACAGGAAATATAAGGTGGGATCGAGGGGCAGGTTGTCCAGAATGGTATCAGGGAAGAGAAGCTTCAATTATATCAATGATTGGAGAAGCTGGGGTGTTTATCCTGAGAGGAGAGAGAAGGTCATGGTGAGACTTGATTGATTAAAGTCATGAGGAGTCTGGACAGAATTGATTGGGAGACACTGTTCCCATTAGTGCAAGGATCAAGAACCAGAGGCACTGGTTTAATGCGATTGGTAAAAGAATTCATGACAACAAAGGGAAAACTTTATCATACAGTGAATGGTTAGGATCTGGAATGCACTGCCTGAAAGTATGATAGAGACAGATTCCTGGGGCAGTCAGTGGTGCAGTGGTAATATCACTGGACTAGTAATCCAGAGGCCCAGACTGAAGGTCCAGAGCAGCTGGTGAAATATACATTCCAATTTGTAAAATCTGGAATATTGGATGGTGAAGAAAGTTACCTAAAAGTACATCAGGATCTTGATCAACTGGTCCAGTGGGCCGAAGAATTGCAGATGGCATTTAATGCAGGTAAATGTAAGGTGTTGCATTTTGGTAAGAAAAACCAGGGTAGGACTTATACAATTAATGGTGGGGCCCTGACGAGTGTTGTTAAACAAAGAGACCTACGGGTGCAGGTACATAATTCCTTGAAAATGGTGTCACAGGTAGACAGGATGGTAAAAAAATGCATTTGGCACACTTGCCTTCATCGATCAGAGCATTCAGTGCAGGACTTTACTAGATATTGGTAAGGCCACATTTGGAGTACTGCATATAATTCTGATCGCCCTGCAGTAGGAAAGATGTTATTACACTGGATAGGGTACAAAAAAGATTTACAAGGTTTTACCAGGATTGGAGTGTTTGAGTTACAAGGAGAGGCTGGACAGACTGGGACTTTTCTCCCTGGACCATAGGAGGCTGAGATATGGCCTTGTAGAGGTTTATAAAATCATGAAGGGCATGGATAGGGTGAATAGTCAAGGTTTTTTCCCCAGGGTAGCGGTGTCCAAAACTAGACGACGTAGGTTTAAAGTGAGAGGGGAAAGATTTAAAAGGGACCTCAGGGGCAACCTTTTTGCACAGAGGGTGGTGCGTCTAAGGAAAGAGCTGCCAGAGGAAGTGGTGGAGGCAGGTAAAATTACAACATATAAAAGACATTTGGACAGGTACATGGATAGGAAAGGTTTAGAGGGATATGAGCCAAATGCAGGCAAATGGGACTAGTTCAGTTGAGGAAACCTGGTCGGCATGGATGAGTTGGGCTGAAGGGCCTGTTTCTGTGCTGGAGGACTCTATGACTCTATGAAGCCAGTCTCTGTAATGATGTCAACAAAACTATCACTGATTATTGTAAAATCCTATCTGGGTTCTACAATATACTTCAAAGAGGGGAAATCTATGATCCTTACCAGGTCTGGCCTACATGTGACTACAGACCCACAGCAATGTTGCTGACTCTTAACTGTCCTTCGAAATGGCTGGGCAAGCCAGTCAGTTCAAGGACAATTAGGGATGAGCAATGAATCTTCCTCTGTACACATTCCTTGAAAGAATAAATAAGTTAGTTGTGGTTTTCAAAAATTGAAAGAATTGAATAAGATCCTGAACAGAAAGAAAATCGCTAAGCTACAAGGAAAATATAGGATTAGATAATTTACTCTTGCCAAGAGCTTGCCTGGATAGAATGGGCTGAATGACCTCCTTCTGATTCTATGAGGCACTAAAAGAGAATTGATTATATATCTGAAAAGAAAAAATATGTTGGTCTAGGGAGGAAGAGAAGGAAAAAGTGTGTCTAAAGGGATATCATTTTCAAAGAGGCTTGACGGGCTGAATGATCTCTTTCTGTGCTGTAAGATGCAATTAAATATAGATGAATTCTGGGAAATAACTAGTTTGTCATCCTACGAGTAGCAAGGGCATCCAGTTCATGGAGTAGATCTGTGAGTGGATTTGTGTGTAGGGAGCGTGATTGAGTACAAAATTTTGAGGAATGCTTACAGCAGGTCTCCCAGGCCGTGTCAACTCCCGTCCTTCTTCTGCTTTCACTCGCGAACTCTCATGAGGAAGAACTGGTGATCCTTCAGGCTTCCCTGTTCCTGCAGCATTTCAACAAAACAATACTGAAACTCACAAAAACACGTTTGATAACAGCAACCTGCATTAGTAAAGTGCCTTTAACCTGGTAAAAAGCCCCAGGAATCACAGGAGCTGGTACTGACACCAAGTCCAATTAGGAGACAACAGGTCAGATGACAAAAGACTGGACCGAAGGGTCTATTTTAGCAAGTGTCTTCAAGGAAGAAGGGAAGTAAGGACTTTTAAGGAGAAAATTCCAGAGTTTAGGGTCCAGGCAGCTGAAAGCATAGCTGCAAAAGGTTGAGCAATTACAATCAGGATACCCAAGAGGCTAGAATTGAAGGGGCTCAGAGACTGAGAGGTTGTAGGGCTGGACTAGATTGCAGATGAGAGGTGAGGTCATGGAGGGGTTTGACCATGAAAAGGGGAGTTTTAAAACCTTTATATGAAAAAAAAATCACCTGTTCAACATTAGAAACAGAGGACATCACATTGTTAGCACTCAAATGTCCAAAAATATTCAGCACCGGAATTTATTGTGTTTTTGCTTGAGGACCAGCCCTCCCTCAAGTCTCGGAAAGATGGTTTTCTAGTCTCTCACCAGTGGAAGGCTAGCTGAGATGGTTTTCCAGGGCTTCATCTAGCAATGCAGTTCATGATCCAAGCTGCCATTTTCTCTCAGAATGGGAGACCTAATAATATCTGGTACAAATTCAATGGACCAAATGGCCTCCTTCTATAATTCAGCATGCTCCTTTGCATTGCAAGACCTCAGGTTTGAAACCTTCCCCAGACTGTCCAGGAATCAAAAGAGCTGGCTGAGGAGTCATTAAGGAAATTGCAGATTTAGAAAAACAGACCATTTGGCTTAACTGCTCAGTGCTGGCTAATGCTTCACAGGAGCATTCATCACCCCTCTTCACCTCATCTTCTATTCCTTTCTTCCTTAAGTACTTATCCAGCTATCCTTCGCTATGCTTACACTGCTCACCCCAACCACTTCTTATTGTAACAAGTGTCACATTCTTAGCTTCTTTGCTTCTAAAAGATTTCCTTGAAATGCCCTTGGATTTATGAAGGACGGTTCTATAGTTATAATCTCTCATTTTCAACTCTCCCACAAGTTGACATTTCTTCTCCACTTCTGCGTTAATGAACCTCCTCTGAATTTTAAGGTCTGCTTTTCCTGTACTCATTCAGTCATTCAGGGATGTGAATTTCCCTCACTCTATAATTCAATGAAGAGTGTTGGGTGGCATGCCAGGAGCAGTGCCAGGCATACCTAAAAATGTGGTGTCAACCTGGGGAAGCTTCAATACAGGACTACTTACATGCCAAACAGTGAAGGCAGAATATAGTAGACAGGGCTTAATTAATCTCACAGACAATAGATCGGATTTAAGCTCTGCAGTTAGTTCCTACACATTCAGTCATGAATAGTGGCAAGTAGCAGGAGGGGCTTCCACACATAAAATATCCGCACCCTCAGTGACTGAGAAACATCTGTGCAAAAGACAAGACTGAAGTATTTGCGTTAACCTTCAGCCAGAAGTGTCGAATAGATAAATTATTTCACCCTCTACCAGAGGTCCCCAGCATTACCAACCAACTCAACTCACTCTGCATGATATCACGCTAAGGTGGTAACCCTACAGCAAGTAGACTGAAATGGCAGCTCACCACCACCTTCTCAAGGGCAGTTAGAGGTGGACATTAAACACTGGCCCAGCCAGAGACACACGCATCTCATGAATGAATAAAAACAGACTTTAATATTCACAGAAGGTTCATTAAGGCAGGAGTGCAGAAGAAACTGCAATGTGCGGAAGCGTTCAAAATTATAAGTTTTAAATATAGGATTATCCTTTAGAAATCCAATGGAGAATTCAAGAAAATCCTCTATACCCAAAGATGGTAAGAATGTGGCACTTGTTACAACAGGATCTGGGTGAGGTCAACAGTGTAGGCACAATGAAGAGGTAGCTGGATAAACACATGAGGGAGAAAGGAATAGAAGAATCAGGGTGAGGTGATGAGGGGATTGGGTGAGCTCCTGTGAAGCATTATCTTTAGTACAAAGGAGTTGGCCCAAATGGCCTGTTTCTCTAAATCTGTGGAATTGCTTTAATTTTCTCCCCTACTGAGGAGCACTTCTGTTTCCTGGACAATCCAGAAAGTGTTTCAAAGTGGGATCTTGTAATGCAATACAGCACACAATTTGCACTGAGTCAAGATCTAGCATCTTCATAGCCACTGGGGACTAAACAATGCTGACACCTCCCTCCCCCCACCTAAGTCCCCCCTCAAAATCCATCTGCCTCATCTTCCCTTCCATCCTCCCACTCACCATCTCCCCAACAAATGAGTCCCCCATCTTTTCTTTCACTAACTACCTCTCGTCCCTCCTCCACCATCACCCACTCCTCGCTGTCTTCCTCTGCCCTCCATATACCTTCCGTCCAGACCTTCTTACCCCGGATTTGGTTGCGCTCGTTGGATCCACTTTGGGAACCTGGTTGGGAACTGCTCTGGGATCCACTCTGGGAGCCAGGTTGGGAGCTGGGAGTGCTGGAACTGGATGAGCTGCCACTGCTAGTGCGTTGCAGGGGAGTCTCCAACAGGTTGTCATTCTTACGCAGGTCAGGATTACTGCAGGGGAAACCAGATAGAAGTCAAAACTAAGCATCCTGCACAAAGAAGAAACTTCTGCAAATATCTCTACTGACAGACCAGACCCATCACAGAAACTGAAGGATTAGGTTTTGATTCAGGGATCAGAGACTGGGCAGAGACTGAGAGACTGGAGTCTGAAGGATAGTGCCTGAGGGACTGGAATCTGGACAGAGACTGAGGGACCAGAGAATGAGGGACGGTGACTGAGGGATCAGACTGGATAGAGACTGAGGGATTGGAGACTGAGAGACAGTGACTGAAGAACCAGGGACTGGAAGTGACTGAGAGACCAAAGGCCGAGGGACAGTGACTGAGGGACCAGGGACTGGAAGTGACTGAGGAACCGGATACTGAGGGACAGTGACCGAGGGACCAGGGATTGAGGGACAGTGACTGAGGCACCAGAGAGTTACTGAGGGATCAAAGACTGGACAGTGACTGAGGAACCAGACACTGAGGGACAGGGACCGAGGGACCAGGGACTGAATCAAGACTGACGGTTCAGAGCCTGAGCAGCCACCAAAGGAGATTGTGGTGTTGGTGCATTGGAACTGGACTAACAATCCAGAGTCTGAGCTTGATGTTCTGGTGTCATGGGTTTGAATCCCAATACAGCAGATTGATAAAAGTGAATGCAACAAAAATTTCTAATGGGAAACCAAATGGAAATCATGTAACTACTCTGAACTGACATAAAAAACGTCTAGTTCGCTAAAACAATCACAGAGAAAGTTGCAGACACTGAGCAGGTCTGACTGCATCTATTGAGAGAGAAACAGAGTGAATGTTCGTTGAGTGAAGTATGACTCTTCTTCAGAACTGATCACAGGGTGAGTCATGGGGTTAATGAAGAAGGGAGAACAAACATTGCAACCATATTGCTACAACCTTGTCTCACCAAATTCTGAAACAGCGAATTAAAACACCTTTACTGCAATGCTTCCCAGGAATTTCAGAATTATTCAAAATCCTTCCTTCGGTTGATATTACCTTGCTCTTATTAACTGGGCACTGGGCCGATTAGCCAATCCACTGCTGTTTCCGGGTGAACTCTTGCGGCCTGGCGCTGGTGAGATGGACGTTGTCCTCTGAGGGACCTGATAATAAAAAACAAGGTACATGATGAAGAACAGAGAGCTGGCAGTGGTGTCAACAGAGAGATGAAAAAGGCAATCATGTGGTTTCTAAATTGGTCACAAAAGAGAAAGAAGCGCAGAACTTCACATTGGAGCTAATCTTCATTGTGGTGCTGCAGATTGGCGATGACCAAATTGAGGTCTTTAAATGATAAAGTGGTTTACTAGGCTAGGCAGAAAGAATCCATTTCTACTGGTTTAGGAGAGTTTGGAACAAGGTGACACAACTATAGTATTTGAGATAGAAAATTCATGGGACTGTTCTCCTTGGCAAAATATAAGAGGACATATGGAAGCATTCAAATCATAAACAGTTTAGATTGAGTGCACTTCCTAATCTAAAGTGAGCGGAAAACTGGAACTCTGTCCCTTGCCTGAAAATCTTTACACGTTTCAAGGCTGCAACAGGTAGACTTTAAGATGGGTAATGCAATTGAACTTTAGAGAAAAGGGTGGGTGGAATACAGATCAGCTGTGATCTAATTGAATGTCAGACAAGTTCAAGGGACTGAATGGCCTCTCTCTGTTCCCATCACTGAAACCAAGTGGAAACAATTTTCCATGGCCAAATGGACTGAATGAGAACATTTATTTGTGAATGTTATACTGAGAGGCTACATGCTTAAGAAGATGCTTCATCCTGAAGTCAGTCACCTTGCCCCATCGAGTCAGTGCTTGGAAACTGGATTCCAATATTCAGTGATTTAGGCACAACAAACAGATTTATCTCAGCATTACAGTATTAAACCCCATCTCAGAAAGTGCTTCATTCATCTACAATCAATCACTCACACTGAAGTGCAGCATTAATATGCAGGCAGATGTAGCAGCCATTTTGTGCAGAGCAAGAAGCAGCAATGGGATGAGCATTCAGTGAGAGAGCTTTTTGGCAGTGTTATCGGACAGAAGAATGTTGGAGATTATGATAACAAATAAACTCCCCACAGTGATGGAATGGGATTTTAATTTCTGTGGAGGGCAGTTGGGTGGTCACCTTCATTGCTGTGTTGTTGGATTTTCAAGAAATCCCTGCAAATATGTGCTAATGCCATTTATGCAAAATGCACCGCACATATTAGAGCAGGGTGCCTTGGGCAGTGCAGTACTGAAATGTCTGGCTGGATTACGTGCTCACGTCTCGGAGTGGGATTTGAACCGAGACCTGTCAACCTTGTGTAAGAGTGCAATCAAATTCCCAAATCTCCACACTAACTTTTGGGTAAGCTATCTGGGGAATGCCATAAGTGGAAATATCTTTCAGGGTAAGAGTTAATTGTTGGTCACAATTACAATTAGACCCTCTTTATGATTATGTTTTCTTGACAGGTATTAACCGTAGATCACTTCAGACACCAGATAATATCCGAGACTTTAGAATCTCCACTCCTTTGGAACAGGAACGGTTATGGGTTGATTGATTGCAGATGTTAAGATTCCCAGTCTATTCCTCCTAATCTGAAAATGATGCTCAACTTCACCAGGCAAAACAGGTCAGGCATTTTACTTCTGAAGGCTGCGTGGCTTTCAAATGATATGGAGAGAGAATTGACGGGCTGAATGGCCTCTTACTATATTGCAAATTAATGACTCCAACTGGAGAAGAAGGGACCATTCTTCTTGGAAAAATATATGCGGACATTTGAAAGCAATCAAATTCACAAACAAGGTGTAGAGCTGGATGAACACAGCAGGCCAAGCAGCATCAGAGGAGCAGGAAGGCTGACATTTCAGGCCTAGAA